TATATTATGAAAAAGAATTGCTTGTGTCCATTTGTTCTAGATATTCATATCATTTTTTCATAATCATCAGCGGCATATATTTTAAGTTGAATGTAAAACTGTAATACTTTTTCAATTCAAAAATAAAAACGATTAAAAAAAATATTTTGTAATATCCCAAAGCAATTGGTATTATGTACCTAGTGGATAATACAGAAGGATGATGGTCAACATTAGAAAAAATAAAGATATTAAAAATCTATAAATTATCTTAACGTCAACAATATGTTATGTAAACAGATAATACCTTTGTACCTTAATATTAACATAAGATAATCTCAAAATAAACTGCTTAGCCAATAACTTCAAAAGATAAACATCGCGTGAAACCTTAGAAGTTTGTTAATAAAACCCTTCTGAGTTAAGGACGTAGTAGTGGAGTATTATTCATAAGAGGCGTCGCTAGCCTGAGGCTTTTATTCACATAACAATGTTTAGAAATATTTATGTATTATGTATATTTCTGTAACGTGAAGATCTTTAGATCTTCTTTGAACATAAAATAAAATTGTTGAATAAGTATGTCCATTCATTTAAGATAATATTATTATGTAGATATAAATACTTCTAAATCACAATACTGAGAGAAACATTGGCTGAATAAAGAAATACTAAGACTATGAGGATAGGATGTTTTTTTTACATTTTTATGACTGCATATATAGTTACCTATAGAATATAGAGATATTCTATAGGTACAAAAAATATTTAAAAATAATTGTATTATATTTGTATTATTATTTAATTTAACAAACTAGAGATATTCCCATAATATCTATACACACATTCATTTACAATATCTTATCACAAATACATTCAATATTAAGATTTTTCTTTTGTATCCACTTAACAGATTGGTACAAATCTATCTACGACACACAACGCTAGGTAGTAATACTACTTTTTCCATTCATCCAAAATTGGTTGACAAATTTAAGTAATATCCAGTTTTACCGAAAACATAATAAAAGTGTTCAATGTTGCCCTATGATGCCCTATACAAAGCACTAGTGAAAATTTTAGACCTGCATACTGACTTTTCACGCAATTGCATTGTAATCAAATCGATGTCACATCAAATAGATACTATGTATGTATAACGTAAAGATTTGACGTGAAAATTTATTTATACTTTAATATTTTAAATATAATTCAACAAATTAGTAAGAATCTCCAGTATTTAAGTAACTTACTATTTATTTAAATTATCTGTAATTCAATGCGTGATATGTTTAATTTTTTTTATTTACTACAGCCATTATTATGCCTTATTATGATGGATAACAATTGAGATAAGATATTACAGCTTTAGAATCTGCAATAGAACTTGCCAATAACAGTTATTCCCGTCTATGACTATATATGCTAAAAGAGAGTAGAATAATTTCTGTACACAGAATAATATTACCTACTATGTGGAACATCAATGCATATGCATATGTTTAGAAAACGTATGTCGATTACAATATATAAGAAACATTCTCTTTATCATTTAAATGCTCACTTAACAAGTTTATAAGAAATAAATTTAAATATTAATGTAATGAAGATATTTTTTTTGTACAAATAATACAGTAATAATATGATTTAGAAACAGTGTTAGCAAAGGTAAATAATAAATATATTCAAAGTAAGAAATAAATATAAATATATAAGTTTTCACGACCCATATTCCGATATTTGGGTTCAACATGGCACTGGGTCAGCTAACTAGCGTTTCTCGTTTCAATCTGGTTTGTTATCGGTGTATCCATAGCAGGAAAGTCAGTAAGAAAATATTGACGAATACATATACGTTTTTGTGTCCGTTGGATTTCAACTCTCGACGTTTGAAGGTTAAACCAGTGTCGTTAACTACTATAACGATGCTCTAAAGAAAATTTTAATGAGAATTTATAATTTATTGATTAAAGAAGTTCATCTTACTTTTAGTCTTAATAATATTATAAACGCGAAAGTTTATAAGTATGGATGTAACAAACATTCTCAACAACAACAAACTCTTCTTGGAAAAACTACTGAACGGATTAGTAATATTAGACCTTATGTACCAGAATAACAGATAGGCTATATTTTATATTTAAATTTAACGCAGGTGAAACAGCGGGCACAGCTAGTAATAAATAATTATTGGATTCTTCAACGTAGGTACTGTTTAAAATGTTTAACGGTAAAGTGTAGTATTTCAGATAAATTTGGAGAAGTAGTTTTAAAATGGTAAATTAAAAGACATTATATCTCGAGTATTATTTTATGTTCCATTTTGCTAAGCACTATTTTGAAAAGGACCGTAGGCATAGAGCTTTGAGGAACGGCTTGCAAGTAGCGGTAGGACAATTCCTCAAAGACCTTTCCTCACTAAACTAGTAGGATCATTTACCTACATAAATATTTCTGTAATAGAAACCCAAAACAGAGGATGTGAAAATATTAACAACATCCAAATTAGGTAATATATCTACTAAATTAGCTCACTATTATTTCATTTCACTTATATACATATGTATATCCCATAAAAGAATCGTATATGTTAAATTAGAATATCTATCAGTTTACCGTCTAATCCTAATAGTCTTTGTAAGAAAGAGTACCAAACATAGTCTAAAAAATATTTTCATTTATATTGGTGGAATCTGGTCATAAAATTGTCCCGCAATTTAAAAAAAATGTTATCGGTCCAAAATATAAATAGTTAAAGTCTCGAAATATAAAAGCAAATGATATAGCTTGATAACTAACGAAAACTCTGGAATGATGTCGATAAATCTAAAAAAACCTTTGCTTAGTAGCGAAACTTTTTCACTTTATGTGATCACTTCGCGCTTATGGTTTCGAATATTAAGGGTAATTCCTTAAGTCTCTTGAGTAATGTTACTTAAATTACAAAAGTTTGTTATCGAAATAATTTTATGATATTGACAAGTTCACTTTAATGACATTTCGCATAGTGTTTTTAGTTATTACTAGCTTTTGCCATCAGATTTTAGAGTCTCATGGAATACATGTATCGATCGGTCAGATTAGGAAATTGTAGTTTACTAACGACTATATAAACCGATAAATAAAGCTTAATATAGATAGAGTATTTTTTTACCAGGGACTTTCGTCAGTATACGTAGAATAAACTCACCAAAGCTTTATCAAGATACGCTGAAAGGTTCAGGAACGCATAGAGAAGATAGAAACATATAATCTTACATTTTATTTGTAAAAATATATATTACAGCAGCGCGATTATGGTCATAAACACCCCGTAGCGTGTCCGACCGGTCTCTTACGAAAATTTATCACGTAAAAGTGCATTCTGCTCTGTCCATTTCATTAATTAATCGCGACATGTTTTAGGACTATGTACTCAATTCTTGTAAGAATCAATGATCAGATTTTTTGCGGAAATATTGTTTAAATTACACACACAAAAGTTCATCCACTATATATTAATATAAAATGATATGTTTTTCAATCCTGGTTATTAAGTTTTAATTTTTATCAAATTTTAAATGTTTAAAATAGTTTTTACTTTTATTATAATCTGGATTACCCGGAAAACGTTTTACAGAACACAACAATTACCGAAAATGTAATAGAAGAACATATGTAGTATTTTATACAATGTCCAATATACCTACTTATTAACCAGTAAATATATTACAATTACACGGTTCGGTTGAAAACTGTCTTATTCTACAATAATCGATAACCATTTACTTTTACTGAATTGGACGTAATTAATGACTGTCTTTCATAATTTTATTATTCTATTAATAGGAAAAATCAATTAGTTTTTCAAGCGCTTTTGAGTTTTTTTTATACCATAATAGCAAACATGACTGATGTATGTATGTTACACTTAAATAAGATATATTTTTTTAATATAAAGCTATTGAGAAAAATATGATAAATATGTTAATTAATGAAAACATCATAATTACAGCTCTTTGTCGGCAGTAGATAAGTCAAATAGCTAATGACAGCTAATTATCCGATGGTAATCTAATTATTTTTTCTGATGCTGAACAAAATATATGACAGTGATGGAAATACATACAAAGAAAGATTAAGGCCGATTATTGCAACTATATGTAGATATTATTTCAATTATGAAGCTTTAGTACAACGAGAAAATCATATTGTTAAAAAGAAAGTAGCATATTTATAGAATTCCTAATCTTTCTTTTAAAGTACAAGAATTAATTATAGCCTTTCAATTGGATTTCGATTCGATTTACATTACTGAGGCTAATCCAAATAAAAATGATATAAAAGAAATTTCTTGTTATAACAAGAAATCTCTTTTTCTGTTAATAATTCATTTTCCATATTTTTTCATTAAATTCCATTAAAAAATACTTAAGTAAACATCTGTCAAGCATAGGCTTTGAATATAAGAAATAAAAGTCATATACATATATAGGTATGTCAGAAGAATTACATGAAACAAAATCTAGGGTGGTAGTGGGACATTTAAAATAAAATGAGTACGATCAAATCTCATGCAGTCAGTAATGCCAAATACATATTTATAGTTCATTTGTTTAGTTATTTAACAAGTGCTCTTCCGTCGGTATTGGTGATGAATCAGCACCATTTTTTTACCTTTAATGTTATGACGGTACCTAATAGAAATAAGATGCATAATAGTGGATATTATTATGGATACCCGTATGATATATAGCATATACATTGCTATATATTGTAAGGTTCAGTTACTGCTTATATATTTTTTCGTAACCTTTTACATTATGTATTTTATCATTCGTAACATATTTTGAGAGACCCCAAAAAATTAACAAATATAATATTATTATAATATTAAACATTTCTATAAAAATTTTTTTTCAAAATCTTAAAAAAAAGTTTTTATTAAGAGATAATAAAACTTTTTTTTTAATATTTCTTATAGAGAAACTATAAATCAGCTGAATTAGGTCTAAGTTAATATTAAATTAATTTATACTTACATTTTAAGTTAATAAAATAAAAGCAGTATTTATCATTAAAAAATGAACAGGTGCACAGATATTAACATACACTGCACTCCACACGTCAAATGTTCTATATCGAACTAGTCTATGGGGTAGTTTCGGATGTCGCGGTTCGATGCTACCTCCACGAGAGGCTGCGTGGTACTGAAATGGTACTGGCTAGAAATGGGAGCGAGTGGGAGCGAACTGACGTCGGGGTGGGTTCGAATCTGCTTACACTGCTCCCTAATTGTTAGTATGGAATTAAAAAAATAATCGAACATACGACCTATTACTTTATACTGTATAAATATAATGTATCTTTTTTAATTCGTCTTGAATTAAAGTTAATAATACGTGCGATTTCATGTACTTTTTTTTACATCGGTCTACATCAATCACGAGGATACAACCCGTCTTCATGCTTTATATTGTACTACGACTTATCTTAATATTATCGTTTTGCTGTTTTATCTATACAATAGAAACTATAACTATATTAAAAAAAAAACGAGAATAATCCACCATATTTAATTTGAATAAAATCTGATTCTACAAAATTTTAATAGTGATTTCAACAATAAATATTATTTGGGTTAACCATTATACTTTTGTCGTAATCGGTGTACATTGACCCGATTGTATGTAGACAGCATTGTAGCGACAACCAACGGAAAGTTCATTTGAATACGCAAAATAAATGGAATATTCTTAAATATTGTAATTAAAAATTATAGGACGATATTCATATTCTGACGACGTTATTTCTGTATAATAAGAATACTTACGATGAATTGTAACGAGTCGTTTTTTACTTAAAGTTTGATATCTTATTTTCCATTTTTGTCAATTTTCTTAAAGTATATGTCCGTAGTAAAGTATTTGTAATTATATATTTTTTATTTCGGTATCATTGTTCTTTGGTTAGTGATCCAAAAACAATATAGGTAATTACTACTGCGTAACTAAACTATTTTAATTTAGTCTTGAGTACTGGGAACTCAATAAAAATAAATAAAACGTGGTAAGATTCCGTGATTTTGTCTATTTATACGTAATCGCGTCAAATTTAAAACATATATTTTTAATTATATATTCATATATTGTATTTAGGTATCGGTGAAGCAAAGAACAATGATATTGAAAGAAAAAAAACACCTAATACAACCAAATGCATAACCATTACCTAGATTCAATAAAATAAAGAAAAAAAGGGAGAATATATATATATATAATTTGGTAAAAGTAGATTCATACTTTCGTTATTTAATTGGTAGTATTACAGATTTGTCATCTGTATGTATCCCTAATATTCTTCTATGATAGGCAACAAACGTCATAAGTTAAAAAAATGCTTGAAGATCGCTGATTGATCTATTATTTCTATCAATTGTTAATTGGTGGCTATCGTATGAATTGGATATAAGCAACATCTAGCATTTTAGTTTTTCTAATATGTGCCGATACCATTATATGTATGAACCCTCAGTTACCGTAGCGTAAATGTATGTACGTCTGTAATAGTAGGGTTTTAGATGCTTTGGTTAATTTCCTCACCGCCACGAATGCTGCCAACTTGAAATTACTTGAAATGCTCCCCCTGAGGAGCACGGCAACTTAGCACAATGCTACAAAGTAACATGTTTATAATTTAGGTGCGCTCTTCTAAAACTAAACTGAAATTTTGTTATAATTTATCGTTTATGTAAATGTACTACATAATTTAAGTTTGTTTTATATAGAAAAAATCGGCGTTTAGATGACCTAGAATGACCGAATAAACTTGAAATAAATTACAATATTTAGCGAATTTATAATTAGATATCTTACATAAATATAGAAAAAAATTGTCTAACTGAATATTTTTAACATTGAGGGATTGGTCACTGATATCCATTAATCACTAGTTTTAAATCTTTTTATTCTATTACGTTTTATGTACATTTTTATTAAATTTAAATTATTTTAACGGTATTGAAAATTGTTTTTAATAGCTATATTAGTACTTAAATCTATATGGTAAAACAACGTTTTCGGGACGTTAGAATCTTGAGTTGTGAGGTCTAATGTATTACATATACATATTTATATATATGTAGTGCAGTAATATGAAAATTCGGAAATATATAAATGTGTTATCGTTCTTCGTAGTGCTGTTAATACATATTAGCGACGGTTACCTCTTAACATAAGGTAGATGAACAGTTTTTCTGTCATTCCCTAAATTATAATAAAATACATAAAAAAACAACTTAGTGTGTTATAATGTGTTAAGGTATGTTAATTGTTGGTTCATTAATAAAAAAATAATACCTACTACTATCTAAAAGGCATATTACAGCGCAGTATGCTAATGTCACCGGGGCTTAATTGCTATGTATATATCTGTCTGTAATCCGAATAAATGCCTTTATCAGTAATTTGTATTTAGACCAGTTTTGTTTTTTTTGGAAAAGGTTATTATGGTCGTAAAGACAATTTACATGTTTGATAGTTTCCATTATTATTTGCATGTCTATATTTAACATCAGTTTAAACGCAATAAATGCATTATCTATAAAGTACTTGCTGGATATTTTCAGTCTTTACCTTTAGTGATCATATTTTACGTTTGACAAATAAACACATTTCCGCATTTTGCATTTATTTTTCTTGGAAATTTTATATTTACATTTTATGATGTTATATTGCTATTGTAATGGTTGGTCATGTACTTACGTAGGCACGTATATATATACATGGAGGTAAAATACTCGTATAAAGGAAATAAAATAATAAATTATATTTTCTTCTATGTTCCTTTATATTTTAACCCTAATTAAATACTTTTTTATAAATAGACTAGCGACCTACCCCATGTTTCGCATGGATATTTAAATAATTGTATACCTGAGGTTTAGATATATAGTTCTAAAAACATTAAGAAACTTTCTTTAGAAATAGTGATTTCTGAAGCGGTTTTAATTATAGCGAACATACAGAAAAACATACAAAAGATTCAGCGGGAAGGATGATTTATAATATGACACACAATAAAAAAAATAAAACAATTTATCTCGTAACATACATCAGAAAGTGGTCAAGTTACCTAAACTTATTGTTGGCACCGATCAATATAATCAAGTAACGTTAAGTACGGTCATTGGTCCCTTGTACGAGTGACGATACAGTGAGTTTAACTTGAGTAGTTTCCTGTATCTAAAGTCCCTACGTTATCAATTCGGGTTCAAATATTGTGGGGTGCGGCTTCTTAATAACTGGGACTAGTAACCTCATTGCTAGTACTGGGCCATGTCAGATTGACCTCCACGCGGTCTGCTCTGGAAACAAACTGCTGAACTCATGCTATCTCATCCAATGCTATGTTACTGGTACACAGTTAATTAGTGCATGGCATAACATTATCGACCACCCCTCCAAGGGGGAAGGGATTATAGTAATGTTGACTAATGACCCCATTGCTACCAATGTGTGATGTCAGGTTACCTCCACGTACCCTCCCCTGGAAACCCCTGTGATAAATTCCACGAATTTGCCACGATGGGCTCACTGACCTCATGCTCATATTATCATTCGCCACTGGTGCCCCGGAAGAGTACAACTTTAGCGCAGGCGGGTGCACCATTCCATTACCTATACATAATTAAAAAAACCACCCCTCCAGAGAAACACATTCAACAATGAATTTTTTTGCGGTATCAAATCATGGCTGAAGTAGAAAAATCCATTAATATACATATACAGTGAGAAATTAAACACAACCAAGGAGAAACAAATATAATAAAAAAAAACATGGCACTATCAATGTGTGCCTGAACTAGTGCTTAGGCGTATATGTGCTATGATAACCATTTACCGTATATTTGCTTGCCTTCATTGTGCTATAAACAAAATTTGATCTTGTAATGATACGTTAAGGTGTTATTCTCGGCTGAAAGAAATACTTTCTATTTTGTTTTTATTAACGGTTATTTACAATTCATACATTATATACCTAATGCGGTATAAGAATACAATGATACCATATTTTTTATTCAAGCTCTCAGGCTTAGTCGCTGTTACAAACATCCTGGTCACGGGTCGATTGGTATTTAGTGGTGGACATAAATAATTATTACGAACAAATAAATCTGTCTACTTGTTTTGTTAGTCTCTTTCAACGTACATTATTAATGCTACAGAAATCACTCTGTAATCATTCTAGAATGTAATAATCTTATCAATATACCTTCTCGGAATACCTATATTTAGATTTATCTTTTTTAATAGGACTTAAAAAAAATTAATAAAATCAAATACCTACCTACTAAAAGATCTGAAACTGTATCTGCGACTGAAAGGAAGTGTTTGATTTTATTGTCTTTTTGTTATCGTACCTGTTACATAATAAATGAAAATAGGCAAATGGAGAGAGGATTGTAAGTAACAGGAACTAGAAGCCGATAGGCTATAGAATCTTATAGTTCACTAAAAAGTAAAATCTACGCGTATAATGCCTAATGTTTAATGCGGCATCCTATGCGAAAAGTTTGTAAATAGTCCCTACTATATAGAATTCACGATCCCGGTGATTTAAATAAATGCAAATCCTCTGTAAAACGAGTTCCTTGCTTTCTCCAAATAATTATAATAGAATAATATAGTATTTTAAAATAACTTACCTATGCACACAATTTCGTCTGAATAGTAATATATATTTTTTTCTGTGAACTCTGTAGAATGATTAAATGTAGCAAAAAATACGAATTGTTACGAGTTGTTCCTTTTAATATACGTTCTATATATTAAACTGAGAAAAGAAAACTACTCGCCCTTTTCACTAGATATATTGTTTTCCCTTGTTTTACAGGGCACCGTCAGTGTTATTTGCGTGAATTGTTACTTATGCCTGTTCCATGGAGACAAATGATAGTATTATTTTCAGATGTTATATCAGTAAAATATATACTTGATATTTATAATTGACAAGCAAACCTGTGATTTTGTCTGATTTTTATATAAGTATTCATCCCTTGCTTCTTGTAGTTTCTTTTTATGTAATACAAGCTAATTTCTTTATAAAGCAATCTACTTTCGAGTCAACTGTTTACCGGTTTAAGCGTGAAAAAGTAATAAACAGATAATAAGATAAACATTTGCATTTATACT